CAAAATTAATTTTATTGTCAATAATAATAATAATAATAGCAGTCATTTGGGGATGACGTGGCCGTACTTTGTGTACCCCATACCGTCCGGACATACATTACATATGATCTCCGTATTTGCCTTTGGGCACACAATTGTCCATGTAGCATTCTTTACCCGCCGGACAATTACCTTCGGAGTCGCAGTCCTCGCGCTTATGTCGCAAGAGGACGCCCTCACCGCCACTATTGATGGCCCGCAGTTTGGTCAAGTAGGCCGACCCCGACCACACGCCCAGTGCGCTACTGGGCCCATATAAACACACGATCACTGTCAGCCATATAACGTAGAAATTGCGCATGGTACTGCTACTTTCAAACGTAATTCACAAAAATTACTTTTTTGAAAAATGGATTTATGTCGCTATCATAGACCAGATGTCCAGATGTTATAAATAATTAAAAATATTCTTTAAAAATTAAGATTTAATTGAATCTCAACGTCACTTATAATGAGTAACATTTTTAGAAAGGGGTCAAAATCATTACTATAAAGTTAATAATAGTAAGTCGCAACCCACAACTTAATAATACCGGGGTTCATAATGTGAAAATGATGTTCATATTATTAATAAATCGATATAAAATTGTGATTTATTTGGTTATTAACACTCTGGTCAACCTCCGCGTGGTTAATGACAAAAACTACATTGATGCTGTTTTATATAAACATTGTAATATTTTAAACTAGTTTTTAAAATCAAACTGTAGAGGGACAGTTAGGGTCTTGTTTGATATAAATAACATGCTTAGAATAATCTATCATATAATTTATGCTAAACATTAATAGTATATTGTCTCTAAAATAAAAGGTTTTGCTTAAAAATTGAAATTTAAAAAGTTTTAAAAACTATTTGTGATCATATATTTTGATATCATTAAATGTTAAAATATTTAACAGGATTTTAACTGAAAAAATCTTATAAATCTTAAATTATAATATATTATCAAGTAAAATTAAGCTCTAAAAATCTGAACATGAAATCATTGATATCTATGTTCCCGAAATAATCTAATATTTATGTCTAATATACCTGTAAAACTTATTGAAAGTAATACCCAAATATAAAATCTATTTATAATAAGAAAATATAATTGAATTTTGAGACAATAAAACTGATTGAATGGCAAATGACACGAAAATAAAATTTAAATTAATTTTATTGTCAATAATACAAATAATAATAATAATAGCCATCATGTGTTTTCTTTCATAACACAGCTGTCATAATGGCATTCCTGAAACTCCGGACACCCGGCCTCTCCACAGTAGTGAAAGGGTGAGCGCTTACGTCGCCAGTGGACGGCCTCCAAGCCATTCACGCTATTGATGGCCCGCATTTTGGTCGAGTAGGCCGACCCTGGCCACACGCCCAGTGCCCCACTTGTCCCATACATACACACGATTACTGCCAGCCATATAATGTATAATTTGTGCATGGTAACGATACTTTCTATTGTAATTTACAAAAATTACTTTCTTGAAACTGTATTTAAGCCGTTATAATAGACCTGATTTCCAGATGGTGTCAACTAATTAGAAAAATACTCTAAATTAAATGTATTTTTTAAGTGGTATAACTAGGAATGAAAAATTATTGGGTTTATTATGTGTATTTATGTGTACGTACTGAATGAAAGAATCATTTTATTAATAGTTTACAAGTAATCTATTAGTAAAAATCTCATCAAGTGAATTTAATTTATTTTATTTTATAAAAATATTCATTATTAATGATTCAAAATTAGTACAAGCTTGGTAAATATTATGACACATACTGTAGTTTTTAGATAAAATATTTAAGTTTATTATTCAGAGATTGTTATGCCTTACAGAAAGCTTATCAAGTTAAATGAATCAGGCATATATGGAATTAGTATATAGATTTAAAATGAATTTTCAATGCATTAATAAATATTCTGACAAAAGTTATTATTTTAAAAAGTTACTAATAATTTATAATATTTGAGGGGTTATTTAATGCATACCCACTTTTTTCATTCCTAGGTATAACATATCTTATGCAAAATTCCAGCAAAATTGCTCAAAAGTATAAAAGTCAATTTCTTAGCAAATACCAATTAAGTTAATATTTTGTTAAACACTAATTTAAATGATTAGTGTGTAATAGATTAATAGATATTGATTATGACTGGTAAGTCTAGTGAACTACAGGTTGTCACAAATAAATATTTTTAAGAAACATAAAACAATGTGTTCAGATTCTTGACTCCAGAATATTCTGCAAAGACATTAATAATGCTAATTTGGCACCGAGTCTAATGCACCTAATCTAAGTTTATTGTACAAAAAAATTCACATTTCTCATTTATATAAGTTATTTAATTAAAATGTCCTATTTAATTGAGATGTTGTTATTTATAACGAATTGTGTATAATGTTATTTGTATGCACCATTAATGCGGTGCATGTAACACTATTAATTACATATTTGTATGTTAATAAAATTGCTAACATAAATACAGTATTGATGTAATTATGTTTGTGAAATATTTGAAACAGAAATACACATTTTAATGGCTTTTGTATTGATCATAAAATAGCTAATGAATGTTAATGGATTTAGGGTTTATATCTAAGACTTCTTCTAGAAAAGGGGTCGAAAATGTCAGGTTTTGTTTGGATTGTGTATCAGAAATATCGCTTTTATGTATATCTTGTAAAACTTTCAGATCATTCGTTGTATTCATTAATCGCAAGAATCTTGACTTTGCCTCACATTCTGACGGGTATTTCAATAGCAGATAGCGTTGAAGTAAATACATGTAAATGTGTTGTTGGAGTCTATTGTGTGGGAAAATACAATCATATTCTCAATCAATCGTGAATTTATAATTACAGAAAATTATTACTTAATAGTATTGCGATGCAAAAGATTAGGACGATCCGGATTAAATAGTAGAATCGAGGTCATCTAATAAATTATAATCAGTTATTGTCCATAATTTCAAACTTATCAAGGTGTTATACCAGATCAATGATGTATTTATCCGAGTCCCAAATACTTAGTATTCTCTGCATATACTTAATATAACCCTGGTAGATATTGTACTTGTGTTGTTTCAAAATATCCAATTTTAATAGCGTGGAACTATTATCAGTCTAAATAAAATTTTAAAATATTTTATATAGGTAATTAATTATGTTAGTCATACGAACCACTGATAGAGTGACACCATTTCGAGTACAATTATAGCTGAGTATTGAGCGCAAGTATATAATCTCGAGGCACCCGTACTTTAGTAGCGAGATCTGGTCGGACATACATTGAGCCCGGAATGGTGTCAGTCCTCTAAGAGCCCGACCAATATTCTTGATAGCGTTGTCAAACTTAATGGCTATGGTTTGTTGCACACTGGTCATAGTTGCCAACTCCGATGATATGTGTCCCCGTTGAATTCCCAAAAACTTGACCGCATCACACAATTCAGACAATAAATACATTTCCTTATCATTAAAATCAGACTTATATTCATCTATAGGTCTGGCGATAGGTATGACTGCAAACTCAAACTCTATGCTCTTAGCAATGGTCTCATTTGAGATATCATTTAAATCAGTACTAATATCCTTGATATTTACGGTCTCATTACACATACAAGGTGTGAACATGGAGGTGTGAACCGGTATCTCTTTACTGGTGTAGTCCTGTACACCATTGGTTACAACACTTTCTAAGTCAACGATCTGTACTTCCAGTTCTTCGGCACTAAACTGCTTATCAGTATTATTATCGAGTATTTCTGTTATAAAGTCATTATTATCTGCGATTTGATTATTTATCTCTGAGTTTGTCGACGAGACCTCACTATTAGACTCAACCATTTGTACACAACTTTCATCCTTTTGTTTCTTGAATACTTCTTCACACGGCATCCAATCCTATCAATCAATGTTTATCATAAATTCAATGATATTCTTACAATTGATAAATACAAATAAATAAATACAATTACCCTTCTCATGCCAATTGCGAAACATTTATCTAATCGACACTTCGGACAAAATCTTCGCGTGATTTTATTCACATTACACCGAGAGTTGAAGTAACATATAAGCTGTAATATGGGCACAAAAATCATAATTTTAATAATAATTCAATTCATTTGTCAAATATTAATTACATTATCTCTAAAGACATTCCTCCTGAAGAATGCTTTGCATGGCTCGCAAGTAATGGCACCAAAATTATAGCCTAATTGTCATAAATTAAAATATTATAATTAATAGAATATTACCTGGTTATATATAAACAAAATATGCTCAAATAATAAAATTTACTATATAACTAGGACTTACCCATTGCCTTATCGCCACAAACAGCACAGAATTTGGATACACGCTTATTTATTTTATGCATTAGTAGCTTATTTGTTTATAGCATTTTATTAATTTATTTAATAGTATCTACAATTTTTATTATAATATAATCATTGCAATAAACATCATTGGGATTGCTTAATTTCATAACACTTTTATAGATGAATTCTTAACAGATTCTTAAATAATAATATTTAAATAATAGCAAAACTCTTATTTATATTATTGTCAAATTGTAAAATATAAACTCACTTATAGTACATTTGTTTCTGGATATGTTTAATTAAAACAAACTAATGTGTAGTTTAAATGGTGTAGAAAAATATGTTTGCAATTGTTGTATGCATGGAATTTAACGTATCAATCAATTAAAACACAAGTGAATTGTTTGAATGGACAACAAATTAATTGCTTAATAAAAATATTGAAGTTTGCGTAACACTTCACTGTAATGAGTACCGTATGTTTATGAGATATTGACTTGTAAGTACATTATATAGGTGGTATCTTTACGTGTTGTATTATACTGCAGTATATACTGTATTATTATACAATATATATAGGAATTTTAATTTACTTCAATTTGAATTCATTCCATATACCTAATAACATGAATAACATTAGGGGGACCCTGATTATACAGTATAATAATTATACTATAATTACCATCACCTACTATTCTGATAGATAAATATAAATATTAGTTTATAAATAACAAATAATTTAATATTTAATAAGTATATTAGTATCACAATATATTTTTAAAAAGTAAAATATATTTTTTATTGAAAGAATTTATATTAATTTGATTTGATAATTTGATAAATTTAATATATCATTATTTCTGCAAGTAATTGTACATTGATATTACCGCGTTTTGAGCATAATACAATATATTGAAATTCATTTGACATCAATGATCTAAGTTGTACCAAATATCAATAAGAATTAGCTAAGAAAATAAACTTTTTATAAATTATAATTACATTATAATGTAGTTAACATTAATATACGGTAATTATACTATGTATATAATACAGTACTAATGCTTAAGCAATAAAGCCCAATGCTAGCCTCGATTTTGAATGTTTTACCTATCATAATTGTATATAATAAATTGGCAACATTATTCATACAGACACATTTATAATATATTAAATAAAAATACCATAAATTGGGACATTAAAAGAAATGTCATTTGTAATGAATTGTGTATTAGTTTGTTTTTATTTTAACCATTAATACAAAACAATTAATGCTGAAAAATAGAGAAATGTGGTCCAGGGTTGGCTACCTGTCTTAGGGCTGGTGCCCAATTAGTACGCATATTTTGATACCTTTTCAAATGATTTTATTTATTAGTTAACTCTTAAACTCAATACAATTAATAATTCACACAATAATGCAATAGAGAGACAACAGTAAGTAATTGTTGGCAAAAGTTATAAATATTTATACATTTATTTAGTTTGACATTCAGTTGTCTCAATACTATTTGTCAGAAATGCCTTATAAACAACTGGTAATGAAATACTGAATTAATAAATAAATCAGATTAAAACTGAATTCTACAATAAGTTACTACCGGTATAATGTAAACGTTAGTACTTTATGTGACCACAAATATTGGAAAACCATATGTTTAGCAAAAGCATTTGAAACACATGTCAGAATTTTAATATCCTGTTTGTTCATAAATTAGCAAGTAAATTAATGATGAGATTAAGCTAGGTTATATAACACAAATAGTGACGTAATTAGCCATCATATTGAGTCAAAATGTTAATGCCTTGTCTTGTTCATAAAATAGCTATTATAGTGAATTAATGGTGGGATTAGGCGTTTACATTAGGTGTATATCTAAGACCTCCTGTAGTAAAGGACCGACTGGTGTCACAATTTGTTTGGTATGCATATCGCAAATATAACTTTTCTGTGCATCCCGTATAACTTTCAGATCATTGGTTATATTCATTAACCGCAAGAATCTTGACTTTGCCTCACATTCTGACGGGTATTTCAGTAGTAAATAGCGTTGAAGTAAATACATGTAAATGTGTTGTTGGAGTCTATTGTGTGAGTAAATAGACATTTATTAGAAATAATTATTATAGGTGTGGTTATTATAGTGAGTGGTTATTATAGAAGTAACAATCGTGAATTATGATATAATTTAGAAAACATTATTACTTAATAGAATCGCGATTCTGGAGATCAGAATTATCCGGATTAAATAGTACGATAGAGGTCATCTAAAATAATTCATTATATTTTACAAATAATTAATAAATATAGAATTTATATACAGTACCAGATTAATGATGTGCTTATCCGAGTCCCATATAGTTACCATTGTCTGTAAATACTTAATGTAAGCCTGGTAAATGTTGTACTTGTATTGTTTCAAATAGTGCAGTCTTAATAACATTGAACGATTACCATCCTAGGATTACATAATAGAGTTCAATTGAATTGAATCAATAACTGTAAATACTTAATGTAAGCCTGGTAAATGTTGTACTTGTATTGTTTCAAATAGTGCAGTCTTAATAACATTGAACGATTACCATCCTAGGATTACATAATAGAGTTCAATTGAATTGAATCAATATTTAAATTGTAGCAATGTTAATACACACGTCTGAAAATATGACACTGTTATCGGCGAAGTTATACCTAAGTATTGAACACAGGTATGCAATCTCAAGGCACCCGGACTTTAGTAGCAAGATCTGGTCGGATTCACACATAGCCCGGAATGGGGCCAATTTTCTGATTGCCCTGGTAACAGTCTTGATGATGTTATCCCACCTAATGGATACTGTTTGTTGAAAGTGTGCACTGGTTATCAATTCAGATGTTACTATAGATCCGTGTTGTACTCCCAAATCTTTGACCGCATCACACAATTCATACAATAAATACATTTCCTTATCATTAAAATTACACTTATATTCAGCTATAGGTCTGGCGATAGGTATGACTGAAAACTGAAACTCTATTGCCTTTTGGTAGGTCTCGTCCGAGACCTCATTCAAATCAGTGCTAATGTCGGTGTGATTTATACTCTCATTACACATACACCTCGAGTTGTGAAACGGTATCTCATTATTGGTATAGTCCTGCAGACCATTGATTACAATACCCTCTAAGTCGATGATCTGTTCGTTCAGTTCTTTGGCATTAAACTGATTTTCAGTATTATTATCGAGTATTGCATTCATAAATTCATTATTATCTGCGATTTGATTGTTTATCTCTGAGTTTGTCGACGAGACCTCAATATAAGACCTATTCTTTTGTACACAACTACTATGTGTTTGACTGGTGTATACCTCTTCACACGGCATCCAATCCTATCAATCAATGTCTGTCATAAATTCAATGATATTTTAATAAAAATATAAGATTACCCGTCTCATCCCAATTGCGAAGCATTTATCTAATCGACACTTCGGACAAAATCTTCGCGTGATTTCATTGATAGTACAGTTGGATTGGAAAAGACATTTGAGCTATGATTTGGAAACAAAAAAGTGATCAGTTGTTTGTGAACATATTGTTTGCAAATATTCATTACATTATCTCTAAAGGCATTTCTCCTGAAGAATGCTTTGCATGGCTCGCAAGTTATGGCACCGAAATTATAGCCTAATTGTCAATAAAGTTAATTAATCAATTAATTAATATTATATTCTAGTATAATTAAATTTTTGCAAAATGAGTAAAAGATAAATTTTTAAATTTAATATTACCCACTGCCTTATGGCCACATACAGTGCATATTTTTGGTGTACGTTTAGTTTTTAACATTATTAATTTTTGTAAAATTAATGTTTAATTTTTATTTTAGTTAAATATTATGTAAAAATAAAACACAAATTCTTAAAATTTATACTTCTACAAATATTGAACACAAATTCTATTTATATCCCTGTTATCAATTTATTAATTAATCACTTTAATACTGTACACTTTCATGATCATAAACAAAAATTTTATGTTTTAATAATCAATCTTATGTGGGTGACAAGTAATGTGAATTCAATAGAATTTGTATATCTTGCGCAATAATCTATATTATAATACATATATATCATAGCTAGTAAATTATAAATCATTTTGCACAGTAAATGAATAGTTTACAATTGAACAACCTATGTGAATGTGGCAAACAAATTCATTAATACATAATTCGGAGTTTGCGTAACACTACATTTAAAATGTTATAATATAACAGTATTTAACAAATTAATCAATACTTCAATTCACTATTAGACAGATGAGCATAGTAATTTTTTCCACTTAATTAATATAATCTTTCCAAGTTCTAGAAAAATTATTAATTATGTATATTAATGTTTTAAAATTTTGTTAATTTCACGTTGATTTTACAGTTATAGTATTATACAAATGACAGTTGACCAGTAAATGATTGCAAAATTAAAACAAAGTATCGCATTATTTATTTGCAGTAATAATAATTATATTTATAGTTTTAGTGTCAAGTATTAGTTATTTTTATAAATTAGCCATTATTTGATATAAAATTTTATTATACCGTTAGTATTAATAATAACTTTAAATTAACATTTTATGTGCAACATATGGTAAATACAGCATTTTTTTTGTCTCAAACTACATATATCTTTGGTAATCCCCAACCACTCATTTGTATCAATATTTATGTAACTGTATTATTGTGAAACAATTCATGAACTTTAAATGACATAAAACTAATGATTTTATAATGTAAATGTGCTATATATTTGAAAAACATTTTAAATTCAAATTTCAGATTCAAAAATTAGATAAAATATTGAAAGTTTTTTAACTGACAACAAAACACTGTTTAATATTCTTGTGTTGATTGAAAAAACTATAATTTTTATATTTTAGTAAACTTCCTATGATTATCAGCCATGCATACTAGTTACTCTGTATTTTAACTTGAAATTTTTGTCAGGTTTTTATATTTGATTTGTAATATAAAATTATACAAATATAATTATTGTGTGAAAAAACAAAACAAATCTATCACTTCATATGACGACATGAATTTGTGTGATTTTTGTTTATACAAACTTTTGCACTCAAATTTTAATATCTGGCTCAGTTTTAGGACATTGTAATACGTATATTATATATAAAATTTTCATTTATATCTAATATAAATTTATTATTTAGTAATAATTAAAATTCAAAATAATCACCTTACGCATTTACCTAGACACTTATTAATACTCGTCACATTTAATTATATATTATTAAACTTGATTATTTAATTATATTTAGTCTTCTAATTACTATTATTATGTTTGGCAATGAAATTAATTTGAATTTTATTTTTGTGTCATTTAACATTCAATAATTTTTTACTTGTTAAAGATTAATTAAATATTCTTGCTATAAATCGATTTTATGTTAATATATATTTTAAGTATGTTGTTTGTGACAGAAATATTTTTTATGTTTTAATTTATTTTTTTAGAAAATTAGCACGCAAACTATATCATTATTTTAATAAATTAATAAGTTGATAACACATTGTCCAAAATATAAACTACAATAATATTATAACTATTGAAACATATAATAACAATTAGACAGTTATATATATGTGTGTGTACCTAAATTCAATAATAAAAATATTAATTATTTATTTAATTAACCTTATGCAAAAAACAAAAATTTATTGTAAACAACTATATTTATCAAATATATTTAAATATTAGGCATTTCTATAGTTGAGTGCATGGTTTCTCAAAATAACAATAAATTCAAAACTCCGACTTTTGCTTTAATACGAAAATTTAATAATAGACACAAAAATAGCTTTAACAATAATTGTTTAAATCTATTCATAATTTTCGTATAATATTGTGTAACTACTGTACCATATTATATTATACAATACAGTATATAGTTTACTGTTATCAAATGAATGGTATATTCAATCATTTACTTTATAAAAGCATATTAAACTTGGTTACAAAAAGCAATTTGTGCTAATTATTTTAGGCAGTGTTTAGGTAATATTAAAAACATTTATCACAAACGCTGGTTCATTATACTCACCAATAAAAATCAATATTTATCTCACACATGAAATATAGTTAATAAAAATGTCTGAAATAAAAATAGTTAAGAAAAGTCTTAAACATGTCAATTCAAGTTTGCTACAAAAGTAGAGAATTATTGATTATTATATTTAATAAATTAGCATATTATTAACACTAGTTTAAATGCACTAACTTATCATTGACATGCATTAAATGATATAATTTAAGAAAATGTAATACTCTGTATAATGAATATTATAAAGTAAGTTATTTATAATAAATTGTCTTTATTTTATTATTTTGTTTATAGACTCGTAAAACATAATATCTTACACGATACATTAATGTGTTACACTATATCACAATGGTAATATTATTAGTTAGACATTTAGTTAAACCTTTAATATGTCATTAATGACGTTAATCATAGAGGTAATGGTGGTAATGAACAGAATTCACAAACAGCTGTTTAAATAAAACATTTGAAAGTTATATGAAAATTATTATTTTTTATATGACTTATGATCATAAAATAGTGAGCGAATAATCCGTGGGATTAGGCTTTATATCCAAACACTCCTGTAGTAAAGGGCCGACCGGTGTCTCATGTTGTTTAGCTTGGTTATCGGAAATATCACTTTTTTGTATATTTCTTAACACTTTCAAATCATTGGTTGTATTCATTAGCCGCAAGAATCGTGACTTTGCCTCACATTCTGACGGGTATTTCAATAGCAGATAGCGTTGAAGTAAATACATGTAAATGTGTTGTTGGAGTCTATTGTGTGGGAAAATAAAAATTTAATTTATAATCTCAATCTTGATTAAATTATTTTTTAATTAAATGTCACTTGATAGCATCCGGATTAATGAGATTAGAACGTTCCGGGTTAAACACCACAATTGGGCTCATCTAGAATAAACAAGTAATATTTTCAGATTGTATTATTGTATTTACTAATAATAATTAAATATTGTCTAGAAAATAGGTACCAAATCAATGATGTATTGGTCGGAGTCCCAAATTGGTGCAATTTTTTTCATTAAATTAATATAGCCCTGGTACGCATGGGAGTTATATTGTTTAAATGCCTCCAATCGTAATAGTCTCGATCTTTCGCTATCCTAGATACAAAAAGTTATAATTATTAAATAAATAAATTGTATCACTAATGAACTAGCTAATTAATTCGCACAAACCATGGACAGTTCGAGGCCATTCTCCATGCTATTAAAGCTGAGTATTGAGCGCAAGTATATAATCTCGAGGCACCCGTACTTTAACAGCGAGATCTGGTCGGACTCGCACATCATCCGGAACGGCGTTAATTGTCTCATTGCTCGGGTGCTACTCCTGATGGCGTTCTCAAACTTTTGTACCATAGTCTGGTGTATGTCCGTCACGTTGGTGATGTCCGACGTTATATGCTCCCGGCGCTGCACACCCACCCACTTGATCGCACCAAATAACTCGTTTAACATAAAACTTTCGGTTTCATTAAAATTGCACTTATATTCGGCTATAGGTCTGGCGATAGGTATGACTGAAAACTCAAACTCCACCGACTTTTGAATGATGTCGTCCGAGATATCGTCCAAATCGGTGCTGGTATCAGGAGGTAGAGGCTCACTACACGAGCACTGGTAGCCGTGATACTCGTTAGTTGATGTTTCGCTTTTAGAACTTCCCTGAAGATTATTGTCTACAATGCCCTCTAAGTCGACGATTTGTGCGTTCAGTTCTTCGGGACTAAACTTGTTATCACTGTTAATGTCGAGTAAATCATAGAGAATGTCATTATTGTCTGAGTCCTGACTGTTTGTCACTGATTTTGTTGACGAGTCCTCACTATTAAGGCCATCATTTTGTACACAACTATCATCGGTCTGTGTCTCGCATTTGTCTTCACACGGCATCCAATCCTATGAAATAAAGTTTAAACTAAATGACAATTTACACCAAAACATTGTAATACAAATACCCGTCTCATCCCAACTGCGAAGCACTTATCTAACCGACACTTTGAGCAAAATTTTCGCGTGATTTCTGTGATCTTACAGTTGGAGTTGAAGTGACATTTGAGCTGTGGTTTGGACACAACATGTTTTCACAAATTCATAAGTATTATAGTTTAACTAAAAAAAGATTATTTAATTACATTGTCTCTAAAGGCATTCCTCCTGAAAAAGGCTTTGCAGGGCTCACATGAAAGGGCACCGAAATTATGGCCTAATTGTCACAAATTAAGTAAATTATTAGACATAAATATATACACAAATTATTTTAAATAAAGTACAACTTATAAAATAATTTATTTAATTAAAATAATTTACAAAATTGTATATATTACCCATGGCCCTATTGCCACAAACACCGCATATTTTTGGTAAACGCTTATTTATTCTGTTCATGGTTTATTATTTATTAATTATACATTATTATTTATTAATATGATGTAAATATTAATTTAATTATTAATTTTTAACATTCATCGTTTAGCACATTTTTTATAATTACAATAATTATCGTTTTAGTTGTACACACAATAACTGTAACGCAACAAAATAATTTAGGATATGCCGTACAGCGCCAATAATATATTATTATGCACGGTGCAAAATAAAATTAAAATAAAAGTGCACATTTAATATTTTAAGTGTATTTTCATGTTCACTTTATCCAAAATGAAAACTTAAACCATAAGGCGATGAATTGATTTAAAAATCAATCAAATGTTGTGAGCAGTGGTCTGTAACCGTAAATATGTTTGCATTTTGAGACATCAATCGTTGAGAAACCTAACAACAAGTGAATTGAGTTTTGAATGAATGCCATACGAAACACATTGTATAACAATAATAGTTATTAACTCGGAGTTTGCGTAACACTACCTGTGCCATGGTCTGTTGCATACACTTTCTCTATATATTATATTATATTTTTTATATGGCAGGTCTTTTTAAAGTGATTTTTGCATGTAGATTCAAGCAACATAATAAACGGCTAATTATCTGTTGCCGTATTCTCAAGGCTAGTAAAATTGTTTGTAAACTTTTCCCTTATGGTGAATATTTGACATCTTAAAATAATTATCTACCATATTGCTAGCTATAATTTATTAAGGAAATAGCACATTTGCTTACTACATTGAGTTTTAGATCTAGCTAAATTTAGATTTTTATAATTAAAAGCCGATTAATTTATTTTGAAAGTATACTTACAGTATTCGTATGAAGTGATTATTTTTAATTATGCAAATTATATAGACAATGCTTTAGATTAGAATTTTATCGTAGGTGTTTTATTTGTCAAAATCTTTTATTATATAAATTTGTTTTTCCTAAAATATGTCAAATGTATTGACATCTTATATAATAATAAAAATTTACTAATACAGTACTATCTTTTAGATAAAAATCCATTTAAATATCATTAGCCCTATGGCCACAAATTCTAACACATAATGTATTTTTTAAAGCAATTATTGACTTGTATCCCAAAATTCCTTACATTCATAGTAATTTTTATTTGAATAGGTATTATTTTTATAGTAATACAATGAAATGGCAAAATAAAAACCGGAATAATTTACAAAGTCATTGAAAAATAAATCTAGTAACAATGAATTTTTATAAAAATCACACAATTGACAATTTATTAATATCTAATACTTCACATATGAGCGGGGATATAATGGGTGAATAGAGTGTATTTTGTGTAATGATAGCACAAATATCTTCGGTTTGAACATCTCTTATGACTTTTAAATCACTCAATGTGTTCATGAGTTTCAAAAATCTCGTTTTTGCTTCACATTCGGACCCGTATTTCAATATTAGGTAGCGTTGGAGTAAATACATGTATATGTGTTGTTGCAGTCTATTATTTATAATAATCAATTAATGTATCATGATTAAATTTATATCAATAGAAATATAAGGTCACTACCTAATAGTATCTCTATTAATGAGTCCATTGCGATCTGGATTAAACATGCTTATGCATATCAGCTGAATTAAAAATATTATATGAATTAAATTTGAACACAATATGAATTTAATATATGAATCAAAATATCAAATAGTAGCTTATTTCTGAAACTGAGTAATGCACTGGTTTTCACATTTAACATATAATTTTCAATATAAATTAGTAGTAAGAAATAAGAAATAAGCTACTATTTGATATTTTGATTCATATGAATTAAATTAAAACAAAAAATACCAAATTAATAATAACTCGGTCCGAGTCCCAAATGGGGCTTATTTTATGTATGTATTGCTCATAAAAGTCATAAACTTTGAGTTTATTTCTCAGAAAATCCATTTTCAACACCAATGTCACGTTCCTATCCTGTTATAAGATTCAAACAAATTAAGTATCAATTACACTGATCATTTGAATCCGTACAACATCATGCGTACTGTGGGCAATACAAGCACTTTATCTTGGTGGTCAAAGTGTATGATTGATCGCAAATACATGGCTTCAAAGCAGCCGTACTTAATCATCGAAATCTGATCCGATTCGTCAAACTTCTGGAAGTCGTTCATCCCTTTCACACATTTAGTGATTCTTCGGATCTCGGCGTCGAAAATGTCGGCGAAGTTCACCACAAACTCCACGTTATTCTTGATCTCAACTCTCCGACCCTTTTCTCGTATTTCTATGTATTTTATGGATTGCATTATTTCACGCAATATATGTATTTCCGTGGCATTAAAATCGCATTTATATTCAGCGACGGGACGGGCGATCGGTATGACTGCCAACTCAAACTCCACGGCCTTTCGCATCACCTCATCCTTGATGTCTATTGGGATCTCATGTCTTACATCCAGTTCATCATTAGGTATACAACTGTTCACTTCATTGTTTTGTATGTCATTTGACGATTTGCTTGAATCGGATGTCAAACTGTTTTCAATTTCATAAATCTGTTGATTGAGTTGAATATCACTAAAGCTATTGTCGTCGAGTAGTCCGTGAAAAAAGTCCTGATTTTCTAAGGGATCACTATTTTTCGATGTGTTTATCGATGGGTCCGAAGTTTTACTACTTTTTGTGTGTCTTTTTCTCTGATTGTCTGACTTTTTCCCTTTTATCTCATCCGCACTATTCATCCAATCCTAATGATTATTAAATTATTAATAAAGTCTGTGAAGCCTAAGATTCAACTGACTATGAAATACCCGTTTCATACCAACGCGAAGACATTTCTCTAAACGACATTTTGCGCAAAACTTTCGCGATTTCTCGTCAATTATACAATTGTCATAATATTGACACTTAATCTGTAATTTTGTAGTCAATTAGTTATTTAGAAATAAATTATTTAATTTTATAATTTTATTTAACATTACATCCGTTTTCATAGCATTTCGTCTGAAAAATGTTTTGCACGGCTCGCACGATAGGGCCCCGAAGTTTTTAGCTATAAATTAATACCAAGATTAGTTAATGTTAATAAAACATAGGTATCTGATTAATTAAGTATTTTAAAAGTATTGTAATATTAAACTAAATAAAAAATAATTGTATAATTATTTCTTACCCATAGCTTTATCACCGCAAACTCCGCATATTTTTCGTGGCAATTTATTATCATTGCATTTATCGTTCATTTTTAAAATAATTAAAATAAATTTTATAATTAAAGTTAATTATTTATTTATATTTGACAGAAGTTTACAAGGTTTCATTAATAATTTACATGTTACTCAAATCAAATCAAAGCATAAGTATCCACANTATTATCATTGCATTTATCGTTCATTTTTAAAATAATTAAAATAAATTTTATAATTAAAGTTAATTATTTATTTATATTTGACAGAAGTTTACAAGGTTTCATTAATAATTTACATGTTACTCAAATCAAATCAAAGCATAAGTATCCACAATAGAAATAAAATGAGTACATTACTTTGTATTACATTTCATTATAGCTAGGATAAAATGACGTTAAATTTTGTTTATCTATAAAAACTTACGAGATATTGATAATTTTCACATTAAAAATGTATATAATGTTTTATTATATATCACTGAAATATATTATTATATGTAATATTGCTAATGACAGCAAGATAAATACAGTAGTAACATTTTTATTTAAATTGGTAAATGATGTCCCAAAACAAATATTTGCAACAAAACTTGCATGTTAATAATATACTATTTATGAAGGTTGATTAATGTACTCAAATGCACTTGTGTGTTAGTGCAAATTTAAGTGAATTTGTATTTATTGTAAATTATTTTTGATTTTATATGTATATTATTTTTGAATAGTTTTATTTATTGCATAATACCGTATGAGATTTTCCATAAAAATTACAATTTTTATTATAATTACATTATACCATGAGTGTTTTTTCAAATTTTATAATTATACACTTGACCAATAAGTTTAAAGCAAAGTATTTCTGTGAGAAAATATTGTATAAAACCAAAAATGAAATAATATACATGTTTATGTTTAAATTTAAATAATATTAATATGATTTATGGGTTTATACTCTTTTTGCGTACAATTTACATAAATTAATACCACATAAAAGTTATAGGATATTTATAGGAAAATAAATTATATAAAATCATTGTTATATCCTAGATAAGATAGTTACAATACCATTAAATTAGTATCAAGATATATTTATAAAATATAATTAAATTACATAACAATCTCCTTAACCAGTGGACTCATATAAGTTTTAGAAATGCCATCATTTATGTTATCGGAGGCATTTTGTCTCTGAATTGTGCCCAGAAGTCTTATGTCGACCAATGTGTTCA